AAGAATTCAAGCATCCTCACTCCGTTGTCATTCACTTTGTCTTCTCCGTGCTGCCCGATCGCCTGTCCTCTACTGGAAGCTTTCCCTACTCTGGAGTTGAAATCGCCCACCATGACAACTTCTCCCTTCCTACTGAACCTCTGGACATCTTCCCCAATTTGTCCAAAGTTCTCCTGCGCCTTGCTTGCGACTTTCTTCGACGACGGTGGGACGTATACGTTCCCTAGAGGACCGGGGGGGTGCATATTGCAGTGGCTGTGGCCGCGACTCTCTGATCAAGATAGCATGGAACGAAACACGTGGAGACAACATATACATCTGCTGTGTGTGGCTAAAACGAGTGTCGCCTCTACGTTAAGACGATCCTCATTTCTGTCCAGTACCACCGTCTTGCACACCACGTAACAATCAATCTGAGAGGGCGAACAATTGTGGTCACAAACAAACCTACACCCGCCAACATGGGACAGCCAGGATAAACTCTGAAGTTGATACACCAGGACCATGTTGATTATCGTTGAACCACGCATATTATTACATCGTGTTGCTCGAAAATATGCGTACAAACAAGGAAAGACCACCCATTCGAGATTGTAGCACAGCCGAAGGGCATGAATGTGACGGAATCTTTGCAGTGCGTGGGAGACATCTTTCTGTCTGTCTGAACGCTCGCCCCGCGCGTCCCCTGTCCCCTGTCCCCGCCTCACCGAATCACGCCCGCGTCCCCGGGCCCTCCTTGCGCCGCGTCGAGCATCTTGCCCAGCCCAACGGCGTCGCGACCGTTGCTCAGGAGGCCCTGCTGCGCTAGTGACGCCCGGAGCTCTTGCAGGGTGATGAGACCGTTGCAGGCTCGATCGCACTTGCGGAACTCGCACCGTAGAGACTCGACCTGCGCGATGTGTGGAGAAGCACATCGGTTATGCCAAGTAGACGAAAAGGTGTGTGATGCTTCGGATCGGGTTGTAGGTTTGGACCTTGTGGAAACGGAGGCAGAGACTCAACGCGCGTGTGTGTGTGCGTGGAGACGGCCTTCACGTCGTCAAGTATCGCCGTTGCTACTTCCGATCGGGTTGTTATCGCTGGTGCCAAATTAACGGGGCGCGTTCACGTAGGGGAGTGTGCATCGCGCCAGAATAGGGGAAGGAATAATCTCGCGAAACGGAATGATATCGCCAAAACGAGCCGTTGTGACGTCTAAAGCGGGAGCCCCGTACCCGTCGGCGAGACCTCGTGGTCTAAGGAGATGTACACACGAAGGTCTACGGAGATACACACGAAGGTCTACGGAGATGCACACGAAGGTCTACGGGGATACACACGAAGGTCTACGGCACAGCGAACGACGAATTTGATGGCACTACGCACAAGTCAACCCTTCGTACCAAGCTGTGCCAAAATTCTTCGGCGGTGTAATGGGGTGGAAGAGGGGGCCGTGTGTGCAGTGGCATGTACCAGCGAGACCTTTGCCTCGCGTCGCTTCAAGTCAAAATCAGCAGGCCGTTTGCAAACTATTTAGCCCGCGGTATGATCGGACGGCCGGTAAACCCGCACGCCTAGCGCTTCCGATCGCCAAAGACCTTGGACATTGGTCATACCCCACGACGGGGAATTTAGCAGAGAGCCTTGCTTTTAGGGCTCTCGACTCGATTCGAACATGTAGGGATGGGACCATTGGGCTACACGTGCGGATTCAGCGAGCGAGAAGCTTTTCACCTGCCAAGCCTCCAGAGTGAAGGCGATCATCCTCAGGACCAGCTTCTTGATCGTGCCGAGCGACTCGAAGCTCTGCAGCGAGTCCATCACCAGCGGGTTCGGAAGCTCATTCTCGGACTGAGTCGACTGTAGCCGGCCACCAACAACGCAAGCACCGTCAAACATATGCGAAAGGAGGGAGAGGGGTCACGTAGAATCGAAACACACCCAACAGGCAGGCGGGATGGGACACCAGGGGCGAGTGAGCCTATCGCCGCTTGTGGATCATTTTTTTCGATGTCGATGGCAGGTTCACCTATCAAGGACGGTTCGTCAAATACACAGAAGCTCTCGTCTAAACGCGGGGATGTCGCTGAAAGTAGCTGCGCTTTGCGACCACAACATAAGACAACGAGATTGCCGAGCCAAGCCTTGCTAGAAGCAAACTGAACCGGAAGCGTCCACCAGCAATGCTCAAGGGTTGCAGACAGGGCTCCAACACAGCACTAGCAACGCCGCAATGAGAGCAACCATAGCTTGATCCCCCCCGCCCCGTCAGTACGTGCGTTGTGACAAAATACCACAACTACACCTCACAAATACACTGCCTACATATTACCCATAGAAGGGAGCAGTCGTTGACACAATGCACACAATGGCAAACGAGTCTAAGCACACCTGCATCCAGCGGTGCTTGAGCGCCTGCTCGCAGGTGAGTCTCTGCGCGGGATCGACGACGAGCAGCCCAGCGACGAAGGCCTTGGCTTCCTCGGAAACGGACACGTGCTCCGGCCATTTCCACGTTCCCGCCTTCACCGCCTCCAACACCTCGAAGTCGTCCCTGCCAGCACGACACCAGGACATGAGAAAAAGACGAGACAGGCAGACAGGCAGAGAGAGCAGACAGAAGAGACAGACGAGACAGACGAGACAGACGAGACAGACGAGACAGGCGAGACAGACGAGACAAACAGGCAGACAGGCAGGCAAACGCGGCGAGGAATCAGAATCAGCGAGGGGCGATCGCAAGATCGCGCATTGTGTCATGGAGCAGGGGGAGGTATGTTCTTGTGTGAGGGATAGATACGAAGGGTTAGGCGAGAGCAGGCGGAAAGGGTCGAGCAGACGAGAGAGCGCGGCATCAACCATGACACCGAGTCGTTATCTTCCTCTGTATCCTTGAACCATGGCCATGCCCCCAAGACATGCAAGCCAGAGCCATCCCTAGATTTGCACAGCAACTCGAGAGTCCATGCCGTCTTCCCAAACGTGGAACATCGCCGTTCCAACGAAACCAATGAGCGCCCACATTTCACAATCCTATCGGAAAAATGCAAGCGTCCTTTCAGCTTATTGCAGCTCTATTCTGCATCACCAACACAAGAGACTTTGAGATGGTCTACACTGCTACCCCTTGTGTGAGATTATCTACCCTGCTACCCCTTGCATCCTCCTCGCCATCACGCTTCGGCAAAAGAAACGTTCGAAAAATCGCCACCACTTTTGATTGGGCAGAGTAACGCCTCCTTCTCTCACCTTCCCGTGAAAGGAGGTTTCCCCGCCAGCATCATGAACGCCAGCACCCCCACCGACCACACGTCGCACTGCAGCGTGTAGCTCCCCGTGAGGCACTCCGGCGCGATGCTGTACGGCGTGCCCACCGGTACGTGCATCACCTCGTCCTGGCCATGTCGTGTGTTCGCGGATACCCCGCGCGACGAGATCATCATTCGTGGGCACAAAAAGGAGCCATTCATACGTACGGTGGGCGGGTCTCGTCGTCGTTGACTGCAGCTTTACTTACTGGTCGTTATATTTTCTATTTTCGGACCCCGACACATAAAATAGCAACAGTCCGTACTATTCTCTATTTGGTTGTATTTGTGTTCTGTTTGTTTCTTTTGGGGGGGGGGGAGGACACGCCCCCCGCGCCGCCTGATATATAGAGCTCTGGCACTGGCTTCAGCTGACGTGTGTGCTTTGTGCTTCCGCTCTGACCAGAAGAAAGGTTCCTGCCCGTTCATACTATTGCTGGGGTTTGGCAACCAGCATGCCATGTTCTGCTTGTGGTACCCGTAAGCACACAAACACACCACAAGACGGGTCAAAAGCGAGCAATAGAGGGCAGCAGACAGGCAGGAGAGATGGAGGAGGGGGGGGGTGACACACACTACAACATCAACGTCGTACATACCACCGAGTGAGTACCCGAGAGCAAGCCAAAACGTCACACCAGCGGTAGATGGGATGTCTCCCGACATGCACGGAACACCAAACAAGCGGGGCAACTTTGTTTGTGCTTTGGTTTCACCGTTGTGCGACAACATGGCAATAACCGTGCAACACTTTGTGGGGTTTTGTTCCACCGCTTGTTGCGTGACAACATGACAATATCGGTGTTCTGTCGAACCGGACGACTCAGCCCTTAACCCCTGGCCGTGTCAGTTCATGCCGAACTGCAACAAAAAGTCGCCCTCAGCAGTTCTCTCAATGGTAAAGCCACGACGACGTCTTGAATGGGGCGGCCACGAGGAGCACAAGACACTCACGGACGAAAGGAGGGCTTGGTAAAAATCACGTCGATGCTCCCCCGGTGCAATCACGCCATGACCGCGATTTACTCGATACAGCACATCGAACCAAGTATCATCTTCCTATGCAGTCGGTTGCCAATCGCCGATACATTCAACCGGACAGATCACCCGTGTACGACGCGCGGTACTTACTAAGGCCAACGTATAACAAGTGTACCAGTGCACTCACTCTTGTCTAATCTGGTCGTCAAGGACAGATTCGAAACATGTCAAGTTCGCGTCAAGGACCGCAACAACCCCCCACATACCTTGCCGAAGTAGGTGGAAAGCCCGAAGTCGATGAGCTTGAGTTCCGCGTCAGGCTTATCCGACTCGAACACCCAGTTCTCCAGCTGCAACAGCAGTGCAAACGTTTTGTGTGTGAGGGCGGCGTGCGACTAGGCCCACGCGGCAGTGACGTCGTTAACGGTGGTGCAGAGGTTTCGTGTTGTGTGCTTTCGCGTGTGCAGCCAGGACAAGCAAATTGCGGCTCGGCCATGGTATAAGGCAGCCTGGAGGCAACAAGGCAGGAGAAAGGAAACACACCAACACCGGCGTCCACAACGGCGTTGACATCAATCGCTTTAAACGGGAGCAACAACGGCATCGACACCTGCACCACTAGCGACGACGACGACGACGACGATTTAACAACAACAACAACAACAACAACAGTGATTGTTGTGTACCTTCAGGTCGCGGTGACACAGCCCGTGCGCGTGGCAGTGCCTAACCGCGGAGAGCATTTTCCGCACCAGCTCGCAGCATCTCTTCTCGGAGTAGTGTCCCTAAAATCGACAAAAAAAAAAAGCAAACCGACGACGCATCAACCGTACGCGTGGTGGAACAACAGAGAGAGGGGCACACGACAGTCAAACATCAGGTGAACCCGGTGGCCAGTGTCCATGGAACGCCAGCACCGCCAGCATCAACAGCAGTGTCAGCTATGGTGCGGTGTGGTGGCGGGTGTGGTGCAAGTTGTCCACAGTTTCTTCTGTGCTCTGTCCACGTGGTTGGACAAGGGTATTCTTGAGCTTCCAGCAACAGGTTCCGCCTGCACGCATCGATTCTCGGCCGCGACCCGAGGTTCATGTGTCTATCGGCTACCTCCAACGCCCAGAGCCTTCCCGTCCTAACCAATTGGAGATACCTTTGCACACACGAGGAGCGTGGTTGCTTTCTCCCCCTGCCCCCCCCAGCAATCTCTCTACAAACAGCGGGGCCAAGTTCAACACCCTCTGTTCGACACGGAAGCCGCTGTACTCCGGTTGGGCCATAGATATGATAAGGAAAGGGGGGGGGGGG